CTTTTCAAATCTAAAAATAAGCTTTTTTGTTGATTACCTTTTTACTTTTTTTCACTTACATCTTTCAGTTAAATCTTGCGGATTGGTGTGAACTGCGTAAGATTAAAAAAAATTAAATAATTTATTGTTTTTTATTACTCGAGTAGTTTAGATTACACGTTTAAGGTATTTATAACAGCTCTGTCCTCTGTTCATATTCAAGTCACTCTGGTCAGGGTACGCGACTGTCTTGATTCAATACCCATCAACCCAAAGGAATTTGCTAAAAGGGGTCCTCTCCGCCTCGTAAAGAGTATCGACAAGCTACTTGTGTAAAGAAGTAGTGCTCTCTCGGTTAGGATAAAGGTCAAGTGTTATTGAGTATGGGTAAAAGCTACTGATCTTGGTGCCTTTGATTCTTGTAATGCCATTTGATGGTATTTAATTTCATTTGAACGAAATAATGGCCTGAGAGTTTAAAATATTATTGTTGGGAAAGTTAGAAGTTAATATTTTATTCAATGAAAATAATATATATATTGTTTCTCTCTCTCTCTCTCCTCTCTCCTCTCTCTCTCTCTCTCTCTCTCTCTCTCTCTCCTCCCTCTCTCTCTCTCACTCTCTCTCTCTCTCTCTCTCTCTCTCTCTCTCTCCTCTCTCTCTCTCTCTCTCTCTCTCTCTCTCTCTCTCTCTCTCTCTCTCTCTCTCTCTCTCTCTCTCTCTCTCTCTCTCTCTCTCTCTCTCTCTCTCTCTCTCTCTCTCTCTCTCTCTCTCTCTCTCTCTCTCTCTCTCACACTCACTCTCTCTCTCTCTCTCTCACCCCTTTATGCTATCGCCACTCAAGCTAGAAATACACTTAAAATGTCCCACCTCCCTACCAGTGCCCTGTCCCTCGGGCCATCAGAACTTTGCAGCTTAAGCATTACTCTCAGTTCTGGGCTTGGAACTTCCCCAGGGAAAGATTGTTAGACCTTACTCGAGATTCAGAAGGCACAGCACTTTTATAACTACAATAACAAAGTCAGCTTGTACTGTGGTTTGTGTTATACATTTAATGGTCTTTCCTTGTAAATAATCTTAGTTTAAACTATTTATCACTTTATTTTTCTAATTGGAATAACTAATCTAACTAAATATGTTTTTAGTTCAATGATTATATTTTAGTCTTAGATACATAAATTTAGTTTTGTTTCACTTAATAAAAAATTAAAATTTATTAAACATATTTTTAAAATTATTTATTCTGTTTTATTTTTCGCAATTAGTTTAAAAGTTACATTAAGAGATATTTTAATATAAGTTATACTATATTATTAAGGTAAACTTCTGGTAAGATGCTGCAGCTATAATCATAAACCTTTTTTTATGACCCCAGTATACATTATATTCTATAGTAAATTTCAAAACCAAAATTATATTCAACAGCAAAGCTATTAAGGTACTACCCGCATGAAACCTGACCGAAAACCTCGATAAAACTTAAATTTACCTTGATTCTCAGCTAGTTAACAAATAAAATATTAAATATGATATTCTGCAAATCCATCTAAGTGTAATATTTAGTATGTAGACACGTTGTTTTCAAATATTTCACGCTTAGTGAAATGTCATTGCTTAAACTAATTAATATAACTTTTTTTTCAACTTATTAGCTGTAATGAATTTGAACAAGTTTTTAGCGTTTCAGGCCTCTATATTTATGATGTTTTACAGTTATTAGTTGTTTTGAGTGAATTTATATAAAATAAAAAAGGATAAAGTTTTATCTTATAACTTTCACTTACCGATACATGTATAGTAATATATAGTAAAAGAAAATATTGCAATCGTTAAAATTTAAGAATCTGAGTTTTCAACGGAAGTACACGTTTTGAGTTCCCGTGAGTCCAAATAACCAAGTCCCGCAAAATTGTAGGTATGTGTGTGTGTTAGCAGTCTAGTTAAAAAGAGAAAAGTCTTAAATAACTGAAAATACATATTTAACATAAGCATGTGCCTTAGATGTGACAGCAATTTTTTCCTTAATATCGGCTAACCAGAAGTGCCACTTTACATCAACGGTGAAATACATTTTTATAATGTTCTCAAAAACGGCTCGAACGATTTTGATTCAATTCGTCCTATCAATGTATAATTAAGTGGTCTTTAATATCATTTGGGTCTTATTCCATTGATGTCTCTTTACAGGGCTTATATGTCCAATTTTCATATACGTCTTTCTCTAAAGTACCTTTAATACGATTTATTAAAAAAAAATTAACTCTCTTTTATTGACAGTAACTATAAATGTAATGATTGGAAGAATATGATAATTGGAAACTGGAGAAAAAAAGAAAAATGCTTATCAAGGTTGAAAATGAGTCTCCGGAAATAACAGTCTGAAAGTATACGGATAATATATCGTTCGAAAGCATAGAATTTCAGAAAAAAAAAAGAATATCAAATAAATAAAGTTGTTGAAGGTAACGGAGACTGATAAAAACAATATAAATAATAATTTCAGAAAAGTAACATTATTTAATGTAAATCACATGTTTCCCAGAAAAGTTTAAAAGAAAAGTATTTCAAATACATCGAATCACGCCAATGCATTTTTTTAAATACTATTTCATTGTACTTTTGTGAAAGAAGAAGTGAAATATAAAAATATTTCATGGATATCTTTATAACCGGAGTTACCTTTACTGTAGTTTAATAACTCTAGATATGATATTTTATTTAAATAATTAGGTACCTATCGGTTTATCCCAAAAAATAGTCAAGTAACCTTTTAGAGAATTAAATTAGTGAATAATTTGATGAATTTTTCCTTTTTGAAATCGCAATATTATCCACTTACAATTAGTGTGAAAACTTTTGACCTAACCATGGAAGGCACCGAAAATGTCGTAATTTCAATTTAGCAAACTTTACAATGAATATTAACAGATTAATAATTAATAGAGAAACAATCCATAATCATCTATATGTTAAATATTCAGATTTACTTTCAAAACTCTCTAGGCACATATAATCCTTTCAGTTGATAGCATGACACGCTAATTTCAACATTCATTATTATTAATTTTAGTGATGTTTCTAGTGGCAAAATTGATACCTTTATTCACAGTTCTTTATTTTAATACTGCAATTACTTACTCTAGAATCAACTTCCTCACTTTCTATATAGATATAAATTATCCAACTAGAAATATCACTATAATGACATTACTCCAAAATGTTGAAATTATAGTTAATCATTCTATCAACTGAAAAGCTCATATACTGAAGTTGTGTGGTTTATAAAAGCGGAAGATTTTTATCGCCTACCGTCGATGTAATAAATCGACTTTAATGTAATTTTAAAGGTCCTAATGATTTTTTATCTGTAAACTTTAAACCTTAGCACCGTTTAGAATGCACTTTAAAACTTTTAGAATAGCCCAATATTGCAAGGAAATAATTTCTATTCAAAGTAGAGCGGTAAGTGAAAGTTTTTTGTTGCACGCACCAGATGTTTTTTTATTTGGAGCTATATTTTTCTAACTTTTAATTACGGTTTAAATAAATCGAGATGGTATTGCCTTACACATACGCTGTTTAATATTTCTCTTGTAAAAAATCCAAGAGAGAAGCCTTTTTGCATTGCTTTGTTAGGACTGCACTTGGAATTTTTTTATCCACTCGACTCCACTTTCCAACCTCGCTGCCGGCTTCAAGTAGGGGAAGGGCACTATTTATTTATGCGTTCTATTATGTTGTTATGACCAGGTTTGAGCCTACGATTTCGCCTCTTAATAATTAAAGCAATAATTGTGAAACTATTACATTCTTTTTAATTCGTTCAGCTCATATTTTATTTATTATAAATGCATTGTTTTCCCTTCTAACATAAGTAGATTGTTAAAAGAAAAAGTATAAAAAATATTTTTTACCCGTTATGTAACATGTTTACTTTCAGTAAATTATAATAATGTCATATTTCCTAAATATAATGTTTTAGGTTATGAATAAGAACAAAATTATAGTATGAAAGCAAAACAGTTTTCAAGTTAAAAAAAAATTAAAACAAAATAAATATGTTGTGTTAATCAGTGCAATCGAAGCGGGGTTTCTCAGTGGTAGGGCATTGAGTTCTAATGCTCAAGGTCCTAGGTTCGAGTCCGGCTGATGTCAGATAAATTGTTTGTTCTTTAACATCTTTGATCGACCCTGGGACACACCCAGCCTATATAAAGTTGGTGTCCTTAATTAAAAATAATATAATTAAGGGGAAAAACCGGGTGGTTGAGCGTGATCTCGGACGAATTACATATTCGAATCACCTCCTTCCACAACCGTTGACCAAGAAACAGTAATTACTCTACATAGTACTGAAGCCAGGACCCTTCACGTGTTGTAGTAGTACAGAACAATAATAGTAATATAATAATCATGTAATCAATGTTAATATCATGTAAATCAACCTAAGAAATATCCTCACAACCATTTCTGAGGAAAAAAATTATTAAATATATAGTTTGATTTAATGCTGTTTTTTCCCCTAAAAATAATGATTATTTTTTTTTAATTTAATGTATAACACACTAATTACAGGAACACTAATATTTTAGCTTCTTTTCTTTTTTTTTTTCTTGAAACTATCAAATATAGGGATAGCTGTATTTGCGTCATGATGTAAAACGAGTACATATTGTTAGAACAAATGATATAAAAAAAAAAAAAGTTTTACTATTTTAGGATGAGTTACAGCCCGACAGGTGGAAAAATAAATAAAAACTACATTTTGAAAATTGCCTTGAATCGAACTTTTAAAAATTAAAAATTTTTATGATTATCAGTATTTTTTGCGATAGTAGTTTTCAACGAATTCTCACTTATTAACTAATTTGTTTATGTTTGCATAAAGCAAAAAAAGAGAAACGTTCCTTTTTGTTATTCAAGTATCTCTCTTAAGTATATTATTTTCCAGCACTTTACTTTCCAATATTTTACAGATATTTTAATAAATGAAAAAGATAAACAAATAGGAGTTGGTATAACTTATACTCTACCTGTAGTCAGAACTGATGTAACAGTTACCAGCGAATGAACAGTCCATAACTGAACAGCTGGTATTGCTTGCCGGCCCAGTGACCATCTGGTATGTGATGTTGAAGCCATACACGTCTAAGAGGTTGTCCAGTGCACGGATGTGATTGCCTTCCAGGCGGTCCAGTTCCAGTTCGATTAGCAGGAATCGCGAGCGAGTTGACAACCAGCGGGTGATGACGGAGTTCTGCTCGGTCACTGAAAGGAGTAGCGACGGGTTCCTCTGGAGGCTCGAGTCCAGCGGGTCGTAGAAGGCGTACTCGGTGAAAGTTAAACCCGAGGTGACGAAGAGCTGGGTGAGGTAGATCACTATCTCCACGTCGGCTTCCGGCAAACCCGAAGAGTCCAGCAGCCACTGGCATCTGAGGAGAACCAAAATGTTTTTTTTTAAAATGGCATTAAAACTGGCATAATAATTTCCAAGATTTTAATAAAGAACTAAATAATCTAAATTAAAATATCAGTTGTAACGAAGCATACCATAAATAATTATTTATTTATATGAGATATGAAACTAGCCCAACTAGTTCCAGCAATTGCCAGATTCTCCACTCAAAACATGTGTATATGCGGCTATATGCTCTCACTCAATCTTCATTGGCTTTAGTACCAGGAACGCAGTTGAGAGAGTAAATCAGGAATCTTCTGCAGTCCTACTTTTCACTCCACAGAATCCCTTCCCTCGGAAAAATCTGGTTTGGAGTTCTCTTACTTGATTGTAAATATTGTATACATGTTTGTTTGTGTTTAAAGTTTTATTGTACTCTAATTATCTTTAACATTATTCTATTTTTGTTTATTTCACTTTTCTTTAAATATTATTATTCAGTTAATATTCCGGTATTATTTTATTTCTTTACAATTTCGGTTAATATTGATATTTATTGTTAATGATGTAGATGAATTCTTTTCTCATTATAGCTTCCTTGTTATAATAGAATATCATTTACTATATAAAATAGTTTTAAGAATAAGAAAAATATAAGGAATAAGGTAAGGTGCAGCCCGAGTTTTCGTAATAATACATAGCTTATTAAAAATCTACCTACTGGAAATACTGAAATGTTACTTCTGATGGATGATATAAATTATATGTTATCAGTCCAAAGAAATGAGAATTGCTGAGAAACTATGAGAGGTGAAGTCGGAAAAAAAGTATGTCTTTGAGGTTTAGAACTTCTGGTGATGAATAAATAACTATTTATCTCCAAATCTGCAGTACATGGTCCATTGTGGTCATTATAGAAAACGAAACATTAGGTTATTTGTTATCGTGCAGAGGATTTTTTCTCTCAAATCTTTCAATACTTCTTCCTTTCGGCTTATTACAAATCCTAATACGAGCCTGGGATAATAAAATATTATCTGTTTTAATTTTAATACACATATACAGTTTTATTACGAAAACTTGGTCTGCACCTTACCTTATTCCTTATTTTTTTTTATTATTAAAACTTTGCCATACAGCTTAAACCGAAAAAAATCGCCGCGTAATTAATTAAAATAAAAAATCCTTGATTGTATGTTTTTCGTATGTTGCGATACAAATAAAAACCATTAAATTTTAGCTTAACGGTCTTATTTAAAAATATTTTTAACTAGGATGTTTAGTGTGATAAAAGTTAGCTTTTACGGTTTCAGGGAAATAAGGTACATTGGCAATGTCGTTGGCTGTAGTGAATATTGCCAGCAGCGACCGGCTGAGAACTAAGTGCAAAAAAAGTACATCAAGCCTTAAAATAGTACTCGATTGTAGCATGAATGGTGAGCATGGAGACATCAATGGCCATTTTAATTTCAAGTAATCTAGTATTACTTTCATTTACTATTTCAGAATTCCATTTCACGTATTGAAACAACTAAAATAACGTCCACAACAAAGAAGTGCCCTGAATAAACAGTTACTTAGTCTGGTATCATCAGATTTTATATTGTCACTGATATCCTTAACGAGCGGGGTCTGTCCAACTTCCACTCAAGGGCGATAACGAACTAATTAGGAAAAAAACTCTGTCAGCGGGTTTCGAAAGGGAGAGTCGGATTGAGTTAGTCAGTTTATCTCCAATTTCGGAGAGAATTTCATAACTCTCTCGGCTGTTTTCATACTCATCCCAAAGGATTGTGAAGCATTTAGGCATTGCTATAACCTAGTTTTCTATTTCTCAACCCATATCTACCTAAAAAATTCATATAAGTATTTTGAAAAAAAGTATTTGAATAAAAAAAAAAAAGACTACAGAAATTATCCACTCTAAGGAAATGTACTTCCATATCTACTTAAACATCTTGGTAGATAGATAGGAAAATTGACATCTACAAATATTTAAATTTGCTGTAGTAGTCAGGTGTCTTTTACTACAGATTACAGATTCTTGAAAATAAATTTCGTGTCATGTATCAGTTGTATGTCAACATCATAAAGATTTTTGAGTTTTGTTGATGACAGGCACTCGACTACTATACTAAGTTAAAATATTTGTAGATGTTAATTTCTAAATCACACTACCAAGATGTATAAATAGACATAGAAGTGCATTATCTTAAGTTTGGTAAAATCTCCTGATTTTTGTTGTCGGATTTTTTTTATTTTTTATTTTTTTTTTGATAATAAAATATTTTTTTATTTTAACATTCAGCCGTTCGCAACAGCGTTACAAAGCTTTTCGCAAATTAATTAAACACATTTTATCTTATAACAGATCACTATTTTTACCTATAATTGTTTTTAAAAAAACACAGGGGATCTCACCGAATAATTCGAGCCATCAAATTAAAAATCGATCTATTCGTTTGATAAAAAAGGGCTACATAGTTGTTAGCAGATGAATCAAACACATAACCATCGTTTCGCTTCGGCTAGTAGGATAAAAATAGTAAATTTACAACTAAATAGTTCACTTATCGATTTCTATTTTTATTTTTTGAATTTCACACCTAAAATAAATACTTATTTTAGTCAATATTTACGAAGATGTTATGAAAAAAAAATGCAGTAACAAATATATGGTTTAAATTATTAGTAAAAAGAAAACAAAACTATTATAATTAATTAATTTGAAAAAATGAACTTTAGCATTATTAAAAATTAAATAGTGTTAATTGGAATAAAACATATACATATATTGAATTAAAATTAATGATATTAATTTTTAATTTTTTTTAGTAAAAAAAATTACTACTAGTGCTTTATTAATAAATATTAAGGCCGCATTTAGTTCAAGGAGAGAACGTGCCTTTAGGCCGCAGGTTCCCAGATATGCTAAACATATGCAGTGGACTTAGTTAGATCTGGTACTTAAAGTTCTGTTGAATTTGTTTAAAACTACACATCGAAAATTTTATTTAATTACAATACTTTCCTAACCTATTATTTATTGAAAAGAAATAAAAAAACACTGATATTTCCTATTTCATTTCTAGCCAATGAATACCATGCGATTTCATCTAAGTTTAACAAAAATACCCGTAAGCTCCAGTATTATTTATTCCATCTCCTCTCCTGCTTTAACTATCTAACAGCTATCACATAGTCTCCGTGACTCTTTACTGAGCTCGAGATAGACCCCCGTTCCTCCACCAATAGAAATAGCAGAAATAGACGTTCGTCTATTGTCATTCCCCCTCGCCCGTACATCCACTTTCATTCCGTGAATACCAGATCCATATCCACTGACCTTGATGCTTCCTTTCATGAAGATCTTCCTTTTGTCAAATCTGATATAAACCGGTCCATAACATTTTCAATTATTTAACCATTCAAATACTCAGAGAGCATATTTTTCCATATTCCGTCAAGCATTAATTTGATCGTAACATTAATTCTTCTAATACTCCATTTTAAATTGTTAATAAGCTAGTATATCCCAGGGAAGCTCTCACCCATGATATCTATCCAGCTCCCAATGTATACGACAATGTATAAGCGGCATCAGAAAAACACTTCTCCTCATAACACAAAATTTAAAACAAGAATTTTCTTAGTAAGTGGTTAGCTCGTCCCATTGAAAAATATCAGACAAGTTTAATAGTTAAGCAATAAGATATATCTATCCCAGAACTTATATTAATTCATTATTATATTCGCTGGACAACTATTATTTGTTTTGTATAACAGAGTCTTAATTTGTAGTTCTCTCACTTAATTAGAGTATATTATTCTATTGAGAAAATAGAACCCATGCTGGACTTTTTATTATTTTCCAAAAATATTTGCCTATATTATCCGAAGTGATCAAGTGAACATAGAGCTATTTTCTTCCATTTATTTTTTCAATTGATTTTTAATTCATCAAACGCTATCACAAATAGAAATATTTTAGTTTTTACACCTAGAAAAAAGAAAAAAAATATATCCCATAATTACTATATCCATAAAGAAACCCCGAAAAATAATGATGGTACTAAGGGTTGGAAGACAGAGATTAGAACAGGTCGAGAGCTTTAAATATATGAGATCTCATCTCAATGAGAGTGGCTTGGTAGACAAAGAAGTAGCCCAAAGAATAGGAGCTGCAGGGTCAGACGTATGTTCAGTTTGGTCAGATGGGGTTTCTTGAGAAAAAGAGAGGTGTCAAAGCGGACTAGTCTTCTATAAATTGGCATTCCTCTCTATCCTTTCTTACTTTTCAGAATCATGGACCCTCACCACAAAACACAAACATAAAAATCATGGAAATGAGGTATCAGTGTAAAATAAAAAGAAAGACACGGAAAGGTAGGATACAGAACGCCACCAAACGGGCTAATCTCAACGTCAAACCGGCGGAGACAATTCTGGAGGAGCACAAACTAAGGTGGTTTGAACATCTTCTTAGGATGGATCCAGATAGAAGCGCCAGGAAGACTTACGAGACCCGCACTAATGAGAAAAGACCCAGAGGAAGGCTTCGTATCACCTGAGAAACAATCTAAAGGAGGCATACAGAAAGCGCGGAATGGATTGGAATAGGAAAATAGAGTTGGTGCAGGAGAGAGACAGCTGGACTCTCTAAGCAGGACCCCCATACCGAACGGCGGTAGAAGAGGGAATGACTGTGATGATGATGATGATGATGATGATGAACTACCATATCATCAAAGAGTCAATCGTCAAGAATTACTATTTATTATACACAGTTACTCATTTTATTTATTGTACATGTGTTTGAGCGTGAATATGGTCTCAGAACACTTTTATAAATGTCCTTTGAGACAGATTGTAATATTTTTCAATAAATATGTTTAAAAAAAAAATAACGCACAGACCTGTATATTACCTATGGAACTAATCAGACTTTTAAATCATCTGAGTTACAGAACATAATTTTTTTTTTTAATTTATTATTTTAAAGTTGTTGAAGGATTTTAAAATTGAAAAGAAAATCATCACTTTTCCATGATATTACCTATCTTTTGACATCTCACTCGTTAAGACTCATCGCTCCTGAGTGCCGGAAAAAGATTTATACTACTGTTTCATATATACTGCGGATTATTGATTACTGTAATAATACAATATCAATGTTCACATTACTGGAGTTGATTCGGTTTCGCAAACGTTAATCACGCTTCATCACAATTTCTAAATGAATATTAATTTTTATTAAAACTGAGAGCTCTCAGTTGAAATATTAATTTTAATTTCAATGTATAATCTTCCTTCACGTATCGAAAAAGGGCTGTAATATTCATTAAATTTTATATACATCTCTTCAAAGCCGAGGGGGAGGAAGTAATCTCTGTAGGCCCATGAGGATTAAGGAGTTCCACATTTACGCTTTTATATCAACATTTTTACATTCTTTGTGCGGGAAAAAGGGACTTCCAAATGAACGAGCTCTAAATAATTAAATTCGTCAATATTCACAGCTTTCACATTCTCAGTATGATAAGCTCCGATTCGACTGAAGACTAAATGAAAACGCAGAGTACCGAAGCAGTTATCAGCATAACTTAAATGTATGTCTTTGATTTCATGAGGTCAGTTCAACAATAAAATCAGTTCAACATCATTTGGGGTGTTCAGAGCTCATGTGAATGTAGTCCAAAATTTAAAACAAAACTGTACGCTGCCGAGTAATAATTGTTAATAGAGTTTCTGCAATTGTCATTTTCAGAAAGATGTTTTTTGAGTTGTCTTTAGCTCTAAAATAATTCATTGTGTTCTAGAGCACTATGAATCAACAGAAAATAATTATTCTTTATGGAATATTAGATAATGGCCCACATTTAAGTTTTTCTTTATTTGAGAGCAATAAAAAGATGATAACAGATTAAAATACAATTTAAAAATTATGGACTATAACCACTTTAGTTCTGAATATCCTATATAATTGCAGGCAATTTTTGTGCAAAATTTTACTTCTGTGCCAAAAAAAAAAAATTTAAATAACGGTTTATTAAAATACTAATGTGAATGTTCTTTTGAATCGTATTCTTTTATATGCTCCCTTTGGAATAATAAACGCTTAGACGAGTTAAAAAATATTAAAATGAAATACTATAAACGATCATTGTTTATATATCCTAACGATCTTAACTTTATAGCAGCGGTTGAAGCGTTTATATAATATTTTTTCACAGCTCCATTTTAACGTTTTATGTAAACCGTTTTAGGAAAAAAGTTCTTGAAATAAAATGTTTAAGTAAACATTTTGTAATAACATCCTAGGTTTATAATGAAAGTCTAACTTGTTTTTATTCTAGTTTTTAATAAAAGTTCCGTTAAATGAAAAATATACAGTAATTAGGCTGAGATTAGAGTTTTAATTTGTCCTAAATGAATGACACATAATTACAGCGTGTCCATTTATGACTAGCTAAGAATAAAAGTCATTTAGATCGACTTTTTAGCGAAATCAGCAGAACTTTTAAATACTTTTTTTTTAAATAAGATAAATAATAATAAAAAGTTACAAGGGAAAAAGTACTAGTTCCGAAAGAGCTGAAAAACTATCGACAGTGAAAATTCCTTATTTTTTTAATAAAAGTTTTTCGTTGAAGACCCGCTTTACAGTATATTAAAAGCATGTGACATAATATTTTAGAACAGATATTGACTTTACCGATCGCATTTCTGATTCTGAACAATATATTTTTTCTTTTACTTAATTAAATAGTAATGTGTTAATAATATAGCGTTACCGGATATTATAATTCGACCCGCCTGATGTGATAAAATGTTATAAGGGTACAATTTAGCTTGCCTCAAAATTAGCATTGGTTTTATCACAATGGTAAAGTCTTCGCTTATTATTTTTTCATTATATATTTATTATTTTGGTTCATCTTTAATCACATTGTCTATGCTGGGTGGAAGCTAATATTTTTTTATTATTTTTTCAAACAAGTCAGTGGTTCATCACAGGTTTGTAGTGCATTTTTGCATACGAATGTGCGTGTTTACTTTTATTTGAAATTAATGTTTAGCTTCGGCATGTCTAATAGATGGTTGTATTTAAGTATGTCTTTTTTTTTTTTTTTTTGTTATAATTATTATTTGCGTTGGTTTGTTTATTTATTGTTAAATTGTACATAGTTTTGTATTTAGCTTTATTTTCTCTTTGATTTATTACTTTATATAGTTTTAATATTGTAAATATTTTCTGTAAATAGACTAATGTGGAATCCATGTTTTTTTTTTCATCTTCTTTTGAACATTCTAAGTTGTATATGAAAATTGTCTCCACATCTTGTATGAGAAAGTTATCGTGAAATATTTTGTAGTATGTACGTATCGTGTGTGGTCGTTAAATGTTAAAGTAGATAAATGTTTCTGTTCATTTTAGATTTCATTTTGAACGTATTGTGAGAAGTGAGTATAATATTCGTAGTCTTAGATTTAACGTTCTTCTTTTTTTGTTGACATGTTGTTTCATATCATTCTTTTGTCTGATATCAGTCCGAGAAATTGCACTTTATCTGTTTGAAGACGACAAAATTTAGCATCATTTGTAAGTTGACATTACTCTGGATTATACCACTCGTTGGCGAAATCCGAGAGGTTATATTGTATTGTAAACGATTCAATTGTTACTCTATGGACGATGACGTTATCTCAGTTTTTTTTTTATGAACATTTTATTATCAAAAAGTGGCGAGTAGCCCCACCATGCTGGATTACTCTGGCCTAATGCCGATACTGCAGTTGTAATAATATTGAATAAGTATAATTAAACTGTAATTAATTGAATAACACTTGGCATCTAGACTTACTTGAGAGGGACAGAAAATGGAGCAGGAAATTCTGGGGTCTGTATCAGTCCCGCTGGCTCCGTGAGGATGCCGCCACAACCCTCACTAGCTGCCTGGCCCCACCACCACATTAAGCACACCGCCGCCAATATCATCGATGTGTGGTATCCTATTTATCTGAAACCAAATAAAATAAAAAAATTAATATCATCCATCTGTCATAGATGTATTATCGTAGGAGTCGTTTATTTCCAAATTGAACCTTAATAATAATTGACGCGCCCATTTTTTAAAACGGAAAAAACATATTTTCTATTATGGATGATAAATATTCAGGATGCTGTCTTTAAAAAAAAAATTAATGTTTTATTTGTGCCAAAGTTTCAACCCAAACATGTGGGTCATCTTCAGGGAGTGATCCGAGCACTGAAGACGACCCAAATGTTTGGGTTGAAACGTTGGCACAAATACATTTTTTTTTTTTTTAAAGACTGCTTCCTGAATATTTATCATCCATGATATATAGAACAGTCGACTAGTTTCCTTCTATATTTTCTATTCTAATCTTAAAACCAAAACTAATATTTTTAAATGATAAATTATAAAATTCTGTTTTTGTAATACATATTTCTAAATATTTTTGATCATTTGATAATTACTTGAAAAAAACATTAAAACTTAAATAGGAGCTATTTTAAAAATAATTAAAGAGAGAAAAAATGGTGCTTGATTTTATACAAAATTTAATATGAAAAATAAAATTTTGTTTACTGTAGCATGTTCTAAATTAGTACATATTTTCTGTTGCAATTTAATTGTCTAAATCATATTGTTTTAAAAAGAACATATGTTTTTATTAGTTATGATGTAAGCAAGTTTTTGGATGGTTTAATAAATGAATCAAAACATTTATTTTGAATTATATTTTTAAAGATATAATATTTAAAATTACAGCCCAACAAATAAAAATTAATTTCCATTCAAATAAAACTGTTTAAACAATTTTGATGGTTTCCGTTTGTAAGAAGAACTAGGAAATGCAAATTTCATTACATTTCTTGAAAAAAAAAAAAAGTGTAGTTATGGAAATAAACTTATATTTATTCCACTTTTTAAATATTTAAATTAATTTTTGAAAAAATATAATCAGGTTCATTGGGTATTTTTGACATGTAAATCGATGATTGTCATGTTTTATATAAAGATCCATAAGAGATTGGAGACTTTGGAAATAAATCACTCATCTGAAAAAATCACAGTGATAATTTGTGGATTAACTAGAAAGTAAAAAAGTATCAGTTAATAATAGCAGATAATACAATAAGAGGAATACTCAGCCCTACTTCCAACTTTAAAATCAATGAGATCCCTTAAAATCTGGTATTTTTCAGTTTGTAGAGCATATTGCAGTTCACTGGTCATATATTTATATCAAGTTAAATTCCTTTAATTTCCATAATAAGCATATATATAATACGTTTATTTTAGAAAGCTGAAAGCTCAAGAAGCAATAATAATAATAATAATAATAACAAACAGTTCACAAGTATCTATTCCTAGACCTTCACCACGAATAGTGATAATCAGTGAGCAGTCACCTGTTGAAATTGTTCAATAATTTAATATAAATTCTGTTTATAATATGTACCAGAAGCGTTATTCTGGTGGTACCAGGATTTATACAGAAAACCTATCAGACCATACGAAAATTGTCTCACTGTTTAAAAATAGATAACTTTTGCCCCAAAACGTAGTTCTTGTCTAAAAACTGATATATGCTACTCAATATTGTTTTAGAATATTGTCCATAGAACATGCAAAATATGCACGAAATATTTTAAGTTTTTTATCTTTATTTAATTTTTGTAATCTTTATACTACGAATATATTGAGGAATCGTTGATTGGTAAATCTTATAATATTAATCTCAATATTTTTTAATTTAATGTTATATGAGGTATTTGTTCTAATTTTTAATCTTTTAAGTTTTTGTAATTTGTTTAAATCTGTAATTAATTTAGTTCCTAGTTATGACGATAGTTATTTAGTAAAACGGACGATGGAAGCTCATCACCAACAGGGCTTTATGCATATACCAATTAGAACAGATAGATATTTGGATGATAAGAAATCATATTTTATTTTGGAAACAAAGGGCAAGTATGTACTTAGGAAACACCTCTTGGCATTGCTTTATATTTCATCGCAAATCTGATCTAGAATTACGGAAAACTGAACGGATTTGTCCTGGCTGAAAATGAGATTTTGATGGGCTCGCTTCGGCGAACAGATAAGGAATCGAAAACCCAGGGTAGGTCGTACGAGAAAGTGAGTCACTCAAAGAGCCATCAGCTTTCAAAGTGTAGGAGAGGAAAAGCTTCTAGGAACTAAACTTTGCCAGAATTATTTCAAGTCTAAACGCTATTCAAGGTAAGCCCTTACATAAACATTTCAAAAGACTTAATGCTTATTTTAGTAATCGTTTCCTGAGCTTGGGTAACGACACAAATTCTGAAAACAGTGACAATACCTTGTTATAAACAGCTATTGTTATTTAGAATAAATTAGCACATAATATACTATTTTAAAAATTATTTGAAATTTTTAATTGTTATCTTGTTGCAACAAAATATTGACAGAGTAGATAAAAAATATAGGTTTGGAAGTATTACAATAGTTGCAAATATTACGATATTTGGTGATCAAGTTACGATCATATAATATTTCCTATTATATAATAAAATTTACTAATGTATAGTAAAGAAAAGTATTGTGATTGTGAAACATTTCGAATTAAGTTTTCAACAGAATTACATTTTTTGATATCTCTGAGTAAAATAACTAAAGTCTCGCTGTGTGGGTGTGACTGTTGTTGAACAGCATAGCCCAAAACGTCATTCGAAACCTAAGTTACATAATTAAAGTATATATATGCCTCAGATGTTATACCAACTTTTGTCGACAAAATCGGCTAACCAGAAATGCCAAGATTTTACATTTTTTTTATATCCTTTTTATATAATATTCTGTTTGTATTTTAATGTTGGCCGGTATGCAGACAAGTATATGTTGAGTTACAAGGGATTTAGTGTAACTTTATTTCATAACGAAAAAAACAACATGTTTTAGTATTACTATTTTCTGCTGAATGTTACACTAATTATAGATCCCATAACACAATTAAATATTGTTGGAGGTTTTGCAGCATATATGACAAGCAATATATTTATAATGGTGAGGTCGTGGGGACATTTGACGGCGATGGATTGCCTTCCTAGCAGTCTGCAAGTCCCGCCATTTATAATTGTCAGCTGATCTCTCGGCACAATGGAAGATTAATAATGCAGTCATTGCCTTTCTCTCTACGTCAGTGAAAGTAAGTCCCGCCTCCTTCTGTGGAGTTGAGTTAGCTCTGCATGAGGTATTGTAGGGCATCGACTTTAAATCATAATTTCTATTCTTTGTTTATAAATATGTTAAAACAATAGATAACGCAAAGAAATCTTATTTTCAAGTAAGTTCTCAGCACTAAATTGTGTAGTGAAGCTCTAGTTTAACTCAACTCAAAGAGATAGGCCTTTAATTTCACTGAAATTGAGATTAATGCAACGCATTGCACATACACAAGCCGATTCAAATTATGAAGAAAGTACATCAAGATGATCAATCGATCAGTGAGGGAACCTAAACGATAAAACGGTGTGAATTTACTACAGACAGATTTATTATACTTCAAGAACTAGTAATTTTTGAACCAATTGTTGATAATTACCGTTAAAGTCTGCACACACAGTGAAATGAAGTCATGTAGAGTTGAGAAAAGAAATGAAATGAAGATGCTTTGTTTGGGAAGTAATACGTTGGTACAAGTGTGATAGGAAAGATGAGTTTGATTAAGACAGCAGTGGATCCTAGAAAGTCGGGACAAGACAAAGGGAGTGATGAAAGAGGGAATTGTGTTCAATCAAAACAGTGCCCTACCGCCAGACTAGTCGGTGCGATGTGTCAAGTTGTAGTATTTTCTGGGGCAGGATGGCCGAATGGACTAACGAGTATTTACAACACCGCTAATTACTCCTAATGTAATGTATATACATATATAATGTACATACATAGTCTTTTCAAAAGCTTTTTTGAGGTTTATCGGTATACTATTATTAGAGCTACATCGGTGTTCATGGCAATTAAAAAGCTGTATTTCTAGAGAATGGGTATGGGTATGATGGGTCTTATCTAAATATGTGAAATGTGGAATGGAATGAGATACTAGATTTGTCAGCAGTGATATATATTTGGTTACTAAGGATTTGAATTCGGTTAGAAAATCTCTTAGCAGACTATCTGTGGTATTCGAGGGATAAAGAATATGAAGAATTTGATGTTAATGAGCTTGTTGAAAGTTAGGCACATAAGGAGGAATAGGATTTTGAGGTTAAGGCCAGAGATTGTTGTGATAAATGTTATTGTCCCACATTTATTGGGTTCATAAGAAGTTGTTGGACAAAATACACCGTAGAGTCCACGATTTTAACTCTATTTGGTTTAGATTATTCTTCTGAGCTCGGTTGTGAGGAAATTTAGTTTGAATTATTATTATTTTAATGTGGCAGCCTGACAAATTGCTAGGATTAAATTGCGATAAAAAATTCCAAGTTATAATCCAAGAATTGAGCCCCAAATCGATGAGATGGATCCTCCCTCTCTCCCCCCCCCATCCATTCTCTCTCTCTCTCTCTCTCTCTCTCTCTCTCACTCTCTCTCTCTCTTTTTAATTTAACTAGTATATATAACTCTAAAATTAATTGGAAGCCCAAGGACGAACACAAGTTAAAATTAACATTTTGTTTTTCTCTTTACTTATTAATCATTATTTCAAATTTGATAGCAAATAATTATATACCAGCTGACTTTCCTCCCAATTAATTCCTTTCCTTCGTTGCTTTTATTAGATTTTTTTTCTTTGATTATGTATTACTATAGGTATCATAATAAAATAATGAAATATGACAATCGCTCTATTATTTAAAAAAAAAATATTGACTGTGTAAAATTAGAGTCCGAACTGTCGTTTTATTCCTTTTATTTTATGTTGATAAAAACTAATAACATATATACCATATATGCAGAAAATATAAAATTAACAAAAGTAAAATAATAATCAAAAACTA